CAACTTATTTACCCTTACCATATCCAAGGTATCCAAGCCCTCAATCCTCCGGATTACCACGCACGGTTGACATTCTGTCAGTGGTTTTTACGAGAAGTTGCTGAACGTCGAGGATTCTCAGCTAACATACTTTTCACCGATGAAGCTGGTTTTACCAGAAATGGAATATTTAATTTCCACAATAATCATGTGTGGTCTGACGAGAATCCTCGAGCCGTTGTTGAAACCAGACATCAACAGCGTTTTAGTTTAAATATCTGGTTAGGCGTCGTAGGGGATAGGTTGTTGGGACCGATAGTTTTACCACAATCATTAAATGGTCTAACATATTTGGATTTGTTGGAAAACACTCTACCTCAACTTTTGAAAGACTTGCCGTTAAATCAAAGATTAAATCTCTGGTTTATGCAGGATGGAGCTTCCCCACACTTTACGCGTATTGTTAGACAACATTTGAATGAAAGGTTTCCTGGGAGATGGATAGGACGAGGAGGCCCCATTGCATGGCCTGCACGTTCGTCGGATTTGAACCCGCTAGACATTTGTTTATGGGGCTGCCTAAAAAGCTTAGTGTATGCGACACCTGTAAACGATGTTGAAGACTTGCGGCAACGAATAGAACAGGCAATTCAACGAATAGAATTGCCAGACAATTCGTGAAAACTACGGGTTATTTGAAAGAGTTCGGGCTTCCTTTGAACGTAGAATGAGAAACTGTATTGATGTTGCAGGTCGACATTTTGAACATCTTCAGTAAAAAGCTTCGTTTTGATTAGTATTAGTATTACATTGTGTCAATTCAATTTTTGTAATAATTTAAACCTTAAGGAGTACAATTTTTTTTTTCGAATAGATGTTGTTTAGAATTAAGCTATCTCACCAATAGTTAAATAAAATTTTTGAATTTTCTGAAAAATAGTGGTATTTATTTTCACTTCCGGTCTAACCGGAAGCAATGGAAACATCATACTACTCTCAAAAAGAGACAGTTTCATACTTTATCGATTAGCCAAATATCGAATCTGTAGTAGTTATAGTTTAAAAGAAAAATCCTAGAGTCCCAAAAAATTTGAACATCCTGTATCTCGAAAACGGTTGATTTTCCGACTTATGTTGATTAACACTTTTCGACTGTAGTACTACCCCTATAAATATTTAAACGTTGTTTTAAAACACCTGTATATTAATTTCATGTTTATGTAGGTTGTTTTCAAACATGCATTGATATGATCACAGAAGCTTAGACCCTCATCAAGTTACTCCTAAATTTTTGACTTTTTCCTTTAACTCCAGCCGTGAACCATCAAGCGCAATATTTATCCTATTTTTTAACTCGTTTTCTAATCTTTTGAGGGCCACACAGAATAAGTTCAGTTTTACTGCTATTGATAAACCATGATGGCGAGAGTTTTCGACCAACAAATTTAAATCTTGCTGAATTTTAGCAACAACGTCCTCCATCTCTTCCTCCCTAGCTGACATATATATTTGTGTATCATCCGCATAACAGTGATAATCGCAATACTGTAAACAATTTGTTAAACTGCTGACATAAACTGAAAAAAGCAAAGGTGAAAGAAATCCGACAAGCGACCATCAACCTGCTGGCGATTTTATACAAAATCCATGAATAAGCTAATTGCTCATTGACGAAAACATCTGACGCGCCTTCGGTCATTATCGATACACCAAACTTATTTATAACATTTACAAGAATGCTACAATGACGGTAAAATTGCATGAAAGTACTGACCGAATACCCATTGAGCGTGGGGTAAGACAAGGCGATATAATGTTGAACCCAAATTGTTCATCACAGTCCTGGAGAGTGCATTTAAACAACTGGATCGGACCCAAAACGGTATAAACATTGATGGCAATACCTAAATAATTTGCGCTACGCGGACGATATAGTTCTTATTTCGGATAGCCTTGGAGAGATAAAACTGATGCTGAACGTATACAGGAGGCGTGTGCAAGAGTCAGGCTAAATATCAACAAAATTTAGGACAAATCTTGTTCCAAGCTCTAACATCAATATTGGTGATAATGAATACTTCTATCTTGAATACTTTCGATGGTATGTCATTAATCCCTGATGCCTTTCCATGTTTTGACGCAATGATTGCGTTTTGAACCTCACTGATTGATATAGGTTCCATGACACTATCCTTTCTTGGGTGTGACGGACTGCTGTCTATTGCCAAATCAGTTTCTATGCTTAATAGGTTTTGAAAATATTTTTTCCAAATGTCGTTCATGTCACTATCACATATTATTTTTCCTGTTTTATTTCAGCATAGTGCTGTGTGCGATTTGTGCATTTGTCTTAACTGTCTAACAAATTTATACACATTCCTGGTGTTATTAGCTTTAACGTATACATATATTTCGGGAAAGTTTATATTTTCACTACCGACCATTCTCGTTTACGTAATACTCTTCGAAAATATTTAACGATTTCTTTAATGCTTGAAAAACAACTTTGAATGTCCTGAATTGAGTATAAGTCTAATATTAATGACTAAATTCAGTTTTTGTGCTTCATTAATTCTTGTTGTTTGATTCTTTTCTAGTCATATTGCACTTCCATCAAATCCAAGATCCATGAGATTGTTGATTTCCAATTGAGAATTAAGTAGTTCGTTTAAGATCTTATTATTCTTCTTCTTTTATTCAGGTTGTAACCTGTTTTTTACGCATCATTCATCATTAGAGCTGGAAATTCAACTTCCTCGTCTCCCGAGATCTCTTTTTAGCTAATCTTTGGTCTCTTGCTGTCTTAATCTGCCAGGTTTCTTCCATTCGTTGGAAGTATTCATTAATTTTTTTTATTTTTCCCCTAGCAAATTTCATGACATATCCGAATCCACAAAATTCTCTTACAATTCTGTTCCTAACCCTATCTCTTCTTGTCTTTTCCACAATTGTTCTTAAAGTACTCATCTCAGTTGGTTCGCATCGCAGCCATATATCTTGGCCATGAGTTTATAATAATAGATAATAATCAAACAAGCGAACTAAACAGAAGGATGATACTCGCATGGGCAGCCTACAGGAAACTTAGAGACATCTTCATAAGCGATATTCCTGTATATTTGAAAAGAAAGGCTTTCAATCAATGCGTGGTTCCTCCTTTGGTTACGACATACGGTTCTGAAACTTTAACATTAACGGTGGACATTACCAGGAGGCTCAAAGTAATGCAAAGAAAGATGGAGAGGTCGATGCTGGGTGTAACCCTGACTGACCACATACAAAATGAAGACCTACGAAGAAGAACTGGCGTAAATGATGCGGTCAACATTGTGGCAAAGCTCAAGTGGAACTGGGCGGATCATCGTCGCAAGAATAAAGAATGAGCAGTGGTTACCTGATTATCTTCAACGCCCATTTCATCATGTTCCTCTACATTTTTGTCCGAATCTGTTATATTTTTACTTGTATCACTTTTATATGTACTTTTTCATTTACCCTGGGCCGGGGTAAATACCCAGATAAATACCCATTTTATAAATACCTACCCGCCGGGTATTTACCCAGCGCCCATCACTGTATCACTGCATTTTTGCAAGAATCACAATATGATTCACACGGCCAGTACTGCAATTTTTATCTGTGGGGCCGCGTGAATCATATGCTGCTTCTCGACTGAAAACAATAAAAACATGAGTTTTTGATAAAAAAAAATGATGATTTGTAATTTACTATCTTATTGCTAGGCTGTTTAATTTTAAAATTGTTCCGGCCAGAATGGATAGACTTTTAATGACTATTGCGGCAGTCAACGTGTTAAGAAGGCATGCAGAAATTCTTTTATCTGAACATTACCACGAAATTTACAAAAAAAATTGGAAAAGTACACAGATTTGGAATAGATTGGCGAGCTTATGATATTAAATCATAGCTGGATACTCTTAAAAATGTTGAAGGGGTAAGCGAACAAAAAAGATGTTATTCAAGAATTGCACTACAGAATTCGAAGATCCTTCAAAAGCTTTTATAACACTAGTAAAACGCCTTAAAAGTTAAAGTTGGAGTTGTGTATTTTTCTTATTAATTCATACGATGAATTAAATAAATTAAAAACTGCACTTAAACGATGATATTTATTGTAAATAGCTTAGTTTTCTACCGGTTTCGACTGTACAACAGTCATCCTCAGGAAAACGACGTCAACGAACATAAACTAAAAGAGGAGCTCATCGGCGCGCAAATATTTAATTTTGAATTTCAAAATTACATATTTGCGCGCTTAAAATTTTCACATTTTGTCATTACTAAAGTAAGTTATTATAACAGTTTCTTGTGAGGGAACCTTTATATCTTATTCCGATGAGTTCCTGTTTTAGTTTATGTTCGTTGACGTCGTTTTCCTGTTGTACAGTCGAAACTAAGCTATTTACAATAAATATCACCGTTTAAGTGCAGTTTTTAATTTATTTAAAAGTTAAACGCTGTCGAGTTACCACTACTGGATTCTGTAAGAAGAATTTCGCAGGATTAAGTGGATGCTCTACTAAAAAACCGTTTTGGGGAAGACTGGATAAGGGACGATCACGTTACATGACGAAGATTGTGAACCAAAATATTAACTTTTGTCTTAATCTATGTAAGAGTTTGCATTTTCCACTTCAAATATACGTTTTGTTACGTTACATTGTTGTTATTCGAAAATAATGTTTTTTTCTTACAGCATAAGATAATTTTTGGTTTTTAGAAAAAATAGCAAAACTAAATTTTGCTTTCAAAATGCAAAAAGTTACAACTTTTTTTTCAAAATGCAACATATCCAAGGGTCTTTTTGGGAATTCTCAGCGATAAAGCATATTTCATGAGTGTCTAAAAAGACTAATGCAATAACTAACATATAAAAAAGAAAATAGCATCATTACATTTGGAATAACATCGTCACAAACTGTTCTGGTCTTCTCAAAAAACACTTCATGCGCCTTGTTGCGTTTGGTAAAAAAGCTCCTCAATTGAAAAAAAATCCTTACTATTTGTGAGCAATTGTGATAAGATAATATTATTCGCTGGACTAATTAAAGAAGGGTCACTAACGGCAGATTGTAAAGGTGGAACCCTTTTAAGCGGTTCCCGCGTATTCGATCGTGACCTCCTCACTCTTTGTATTGATCTCATCCCGTTAACTTTTTCCTCTTTCTACNTGTAAAGGTGGAACCCTTTTAAGCGGTTCCCGCGTATTCGATCGTGACCTCCTCACTCTTTGTATTGATCTCATCCCGTTAACTTTTTCCTCTTTCTACTCACCAAAAACGAAAAACAAAAACATTGATAATCAGAAAAGAAAATAATCGAACAATTAATTTAAAAAATGATATACCACCAATTGAGGAATTTTACTTTGCCCTCCTGGAACCGGATTTGGCTTCTTATAATTTTCCTTGTAACCTTTGAAACCTTGCTGCGTCTGTTGCGGTACTGAAAAAACAACAGCGTAACAGGGTTTTTGAGCTTACAACTTAATAGTTTTTCAAGCGGTACATTGCAACACGGTTAAAGTCACTGGTGTTGACATCTCAGCCATTTGATAATCGGGGTAGTTGGTGGTTTGTTGGGGTCCTTTTTCTTTTGATTTTACACTACTCTTGGATATCACCGAATATGTTGGTTGCTGTAATAAAACGTCGTTGACGTAGGGTTGTTGTTGACGATTCGTTTGTAGTTGTTGGACATCTAAAATTGTTGTAGATGAGCTTTGAAATTGTTGTATGGTACTCGAAGATAGATTTAACTAAAAATTTTTAATAAAAATAAAATTGTGACTTTTTTATAACAATAATTTACATTTATGTTGTTTGAGGTTGATGCTAAATCTAGTTCTGGGTAATTCCATGGAAGCGATTTATTATTACAAACTGGTTCTTCAGGTACAGTAGGTAATTTCCCCGATAAAATATCTAAAAAAATTAGTTTCTTTTAAATTTGGTTCTTTTATTAATATTTTTGTTACCTAAACCTTCAAAATCCATTAAATCGTTATTTGGTAAGTTTGGTTGTAAGGGCCCAAGACTTGGTTGGATAAAATGTGATAAACCAGCTTTTGCTAATTTTGATAAAAATAAATTAATAATTTCAATATTAAAAATATTTTTTGATCTCACCAATTTCTCGAGTATCAGGAAAAGCGAATGGTTGATTACTTATAGTTGAAAATAAAGTGTCGCTCATCAACCCCATATAATCTTCATCAATGAGCATATTATGCTCTTGATATGGGAAATCATATCTTAATAATTCCAACTCCAAGAGCTAAAACAAATCAAAATAAAATAAGTAACCATAATTACTCAACAGGTGTTAAGTTAGCCATAGATTTAAAAGGATACTTTTCTCAACTATAATAGAACATAAAAAATCAGAATTAATTGAGACAATCTTCTGTATTGATGAAAGTATGATCCCAGCACACAATTTCGTTAAAAAAAACTTGGACTAACACAAGTAGGTTATGAATATTAATGTGGGTGTTACGTAAAGAAAATGAATAATGAAATTCCAAGAAGAAACTGTATTGTTTGTAATGCTTTAACAATAAACATTGTTTATAAACTGTTACATATCATTAAAGAATTTTAGAAACATTTTATTTATCAACTTTAAGTTTATTTATTCCCAAAACTGTCGAAAATAAGAAAAGGTTGCTAACAGGCGTATTCTATGACGCCTATAGTTGATGACTTGATGAACACCTTAACAAAAAATGGATTCATAACTCAGAGGTGTACTGATGACCTGGTAATTACAATCCGAGGTAAATATGACACAATCATAACTCAACTGATGCAGAAAGCCCTTGTTACCTACTTACCAGCACTTGGTGCAGAAGTAATGGGCGCAGCAGCCTTCACTCGGGAAGGAAGTTACAATTAAGAGCACCCTCCATTGAAAGCAGAACTATTAACCTCAAAACAGAAGTTAAATACCTAGGGGTAATACTAGACAGTAAATTAAACTGCAACTCCCTCATAGACAAGGTGAGGAAAAGGCCATTATGGCTAACCAGATCTACCGCAGGTTTCTCGGAAGGAACCGGGGTCTCAAACCACGAATGGCTCATTGTAAAAACAAATCATAAGACAGCACAACAACTGGCACAAATCCAGCGGTTAGCATGTCTTAATATAACGGGTGCAATGGGATCTTGTCCGATGGCTGCTCTTGAAGCCCTACTCGGTCTCACACCACTTCATTTATATACAGGATGGTCCATTTAACGCGTGACAAGCGATTATCTCGAAAACGGTTCATTTTACATAAAAATGAACCAAATGAAAGTTGTTCTGTGCGAAGGCGGAAACCATATGACGATAACTCTTTTGACCATGACCTTATTTTCAAGGTTATAGAGGGTCACGACCAATTTTTTAAATGGCATCGTATATATTTTATTGCAAAATCTGAATCTGTGGATAAAAGTTTATAATCTAGCAAGAACAAACAAGATTTTTGAATTTTTAAACATTTTCTTACCCGCTTCGACATTGTCTTTAGTTCTTAATTTTTATTTTATTTGTATCCAGTTTACAGAGAGAAATTACAGAGACTTACAGAATTACAGAGAAATTACAACACTTATGAAGTATGGCAGGATTAAGGTTGGACTTTTGAATTGTCGTGTTGTGGAGCATTTTAGCGTTTTGCGGTGCTATAGATGCCTATGTTTTGGTCACAAATCTGAAACATGTACGCGTTCATTGGCATGCGCGAGATGTAGTGAGGATCATAAGTCCGAGGATTGTAGAAGTGCCACTTTATCATGTACTGTTTGTAAACAAAAAAATCAAAATTTTCAAACAAAGCTAGATGTAAATCATAGTGTATGGGATTTGAAATGTCCATGTTACGTGTCTATTATTAAGTTGATTTCAAGGAGAGTAGATTATAACATATAGCAATTACAGGACTATGGCTTGAGAATGGTAAATATACAAGGATTGTTAAGTCATAAGACAGAATTGTCGCAATATATGTTTAGTGAGAAATTTGCGCTCTTTGCTTTAACCGAAACTCATGTTACAATGAATATAACAGATAATGAACTTTTGATTCCATTCTATAATGTCGTTAGATGTGATTCTCATAGCAGGCATACGGGTGGTGTTTTATAGTACATACACCGGAGGTTTTGTTATTCTATGTATTTAAATGCTGTTTTCGGTTATCAAATATGGGTGCTGGGTGTATCATTTGATTTCTACGATACAATATTGGTATACAGGTCTCCCTTTGCAAGTATTACTTGGTCCATTGATGTTTTTGAGAACATTTTACAATCACAAAGCTTCCGGCGATCTACTATTATATTGGGTGATTTTAATATAAACGTGAATAGTGATACTACGTATGCATCAAGACTGATTGGCTTAATGAGTTTGTACGGATTTAAGCAAATTGTTAATGATTCCACTAGAATTACATTAATTAGTCAAACTTGTATAGATTTGGTTTTTATAAATTGTGATAAATGGAAAGCTTCGACTTTGAATCAACCAAGAATATCTGATCATTTTATTATAGATATATACAAGCATAACAAAATAACACAGCATATTACAGACTCTTATAACAGAAATTTCAGAAAACTTCGATCTCTTGATCCTATTTTATTTAGAGTAAAATTAGAAGGATTACATTGGTTGATGACGGGTGGAGTTAGTGACTTGGTATCAAACTATAACAAAAATATAGTTGATACATTAGACCAGTTAGTACCAAAGTTTAACATAAACATCAATGGAAATCACAATAGGTGGTACAATAATAAATTGAAATCTTTGGCGCATGAACGTGATAATCTATACCAAAAGGCTATATTAAATGAATCTGAATCCGATTGGGAATTATATAGAATCAGTAGAAATAAATATACTGCCGAAATTCAAAAGACAAGAAAAGCATATTTCGAAAATAAAATTAAGAGTGCTAGTGGAGTCCCTAAACGAATGTGGCAATATATAACAGAAGCGATTAACAACAAACCGCATTTAATGCAAACTAACATGTCTTTTGGAGATGAAATATTGATGGATCCGTATAAAATCGCAAATAAATTCAATGAATATGTGAAATCTAGCATTGATGATCTCTTGCAAAGTTATTCCACAAATGCGATGGTATATGAACCTGTGTTTTTAAATAACAATGTGAGTGATATTTTTTTTGAACTCAAGCCAATAAATACAGTTGAATTAAAAGGAATATTTAATGAGATAAAGGGTGGCAATTCTGAAGATGACATAAGTAAGCAGGTTATTCAAATAGGTGGTGATTTGATAATAAATCAACTTTTACTGATCGTGAACTCTTCTATAAGAGACTGTGTTTTTCCTAAGATCTGGAAGAAGACTACAATAATTCCAGTAGCAAAAATTAAAAATTCGAGAAAATGCGAAAATCAAAGACCTGTCAATACAATTTTGTTATCAGCTAAAATTATGGAAAAAGTGGTCTATAAACAGTTGAAGGATTTTATTTCTCGCAATGAGGTGCTCTCTGACTATCAGTCGGGGTTCCGGGACGGCCATTCTTGTGAGACTGCATTACAACTGATTATATCCAAATGGAAATATGTATTGGATACACGAAACAAGATTATATTGGCTGTCTTTTTAGATTTCAAACGAGCCTTTGAAACGGTAGATAGAGAACGTTTGCTACATAAGCTACGATGTATTGGAGTTGGAAGTAGGACAATTATGTGGTTTAGAAGCTACCTTAACGATCGAGTTCAACAGGTAAAATTTGGGGATGTGCTATCTACAGAAATAGAAACAACTTATGGAGTTCCACAAGGAACGGTACTAGGTCCGTTACTGTTTATTATATACATCAACGACATCGTATCCGTCTGTAATGGTGAGGCCCTAATAAATCTTTTTGCTGACGACACACTTATAGCAGTTGAAGACAGCAGCATCGATTTAGCTACAGATAAAATGAATGTGATCATGCGTAACTTGGAAAAATGGCTAATAGTTAATAAAGTAATTGTGAACACGGGTAAAACTAAAGCTATGGTTCTCGGTCAGTGCGGAATTAATTGTTTTAATGAGGTTTCTTTAAATAGTGATGTGATTGAGTATGTAAATATTATAAAATACCTAGGAGTATTTATTGATAAAGATCTCAAATTTAAATACCATATCGCAAATGTTATTGATAATGTTAAAGATAAAGTGAATTACTTTTGTAGAATTTGTAGGTTGTTATCTGTAAACGTTCGAATTGTGGTGTATAAGTCATTAATTAGCCCAATTTTTGAGTGTTATCCTACAATTGTTTATTATGCTGGGGAATCGGAAATGCAAAATTTACACATCATACAAAATAGGGCCATGCGAGCGATTTTGGGTTGTAATATGTTTACTAGAATTAATGATATGTTAGACGCATTATGTTTTTATTCTGTGAAAGAGAGATTGTATATGTTAAATATGTGTTTTGTATATAAATTGGTTAATAATTTGTTACCTCGATATTTGCAAGTGACAAAAGTATCCGACATACATACCTATAACACAAGAGCTCGCAACAGTTTGTATATTAGACGGGTTAGTCATTCATATTCGCAGGATTGTTTATTTTTTAGGGGGTTTATTTTGTTTAATAATTTAGACAACGAAATTAGAAGTCAAACAACTATTTCAGCATTTAAGAAGAAATTGTTGGAAACCATTAGAAGTGGGAGAATAATATTATGATTGTAAACTTTATTCCATTATTCCATTTCTTGCTTTTTTTTTTTTGGTTGTATATATATATGTATCTACATATTTAATAAAATATATATTATTATATTATATTATTATATATTAGAGAAATTAATAGTAAACACTATGTATATAAGGTAAACAAAAACAAAAACTCCCATAACACGCCATATAACTAATTTCTATTATGATCAGTACCAAGCAGCTAGTGCATGGGGGTAAATTTGTTTATAACGCTTTAAAAAAGAAGTCTACATGTAATATGTCAGTACCTGATCAAAGAGGTAGAAAAGTATCTATCAATAAAATTTCTGATGAAGTTATTGAAAAAAATTACTAAGCAAATTGACAGCTATTCTACGTATGAAAGCCATTATTACCGAGAAAGGTCTGCTAAGAAGTGTCTTGAAGATGGCTTAAATATTTCACAAATGAATGGGTTATATTGCGAAGAACTTAGGAACGAAGGTGAAGAAATGTCTTTTTAGTAAAAATCTTCAACGAAATGTTTAATTTGTCGTTCCATTTACCAGGCAAACAACACGTCTGTGAAGTTAGCACCTAATTTTTTAAAAACTTCAAATTTCTCTTCAGTTCCTATTGCACCTCATTGAGTTCTATAGTTCTCTACTATTTTTAATAATAGTTCCGCAAAAATAGGCAAAAAAATCGATATCTATTTTTTGGGGTGCTAAGTTCACAAAACGAGATCACAAAATTTGCAATAACTCTGAAACGAATGTAGGTATCAAAAAATGTTATCAAAATGTCTTTTAGAATTTGTGAGGTGTTATCCAGAACTCCTGGAACTTGAACCTGAATTTTTACTTGAAATGATTGGATTAATTCTATTCGTAATTGTAAACAACCCCCATTCAATGTATTCTCTATGGGTCTAGAAGATTTTAAAAATTGTAGTACATTTTACTCATTATGAACAGCACCATTCATATCAAGAAAAATAAAGTAATGAAGGAGAACAGTTTAAGTTATCCAGCGTTGTTTGGCTCCAAATTAGACGAGAAACATTAGACGCCGAAAACGACTATGTAATAAAATACGGGGGGTGCCATTTAAAAAAATGAAGTTATGGTACTTCCAAATTTCGAAAAGTTAACGTGCCATACTAAAGTGACCAAACGTTCTAGACAGCCGTTCTCGGCACCAAAACATACTCCATC